TTCATATGAACGGTCTACAGCATGTCTGCATGCAGGCTGAAACTTCCACACATGCCTGCTGGACGTGTCCACACTCAGAGAGAAAAGAGCTGGTCGTGCGATCCATTCTGTCGTCGTGTTGACTGTGGTGAGGGTCTGGACGTGGTGGGCCGTGTGGGGTGAGGCGCCTGGCTGTTCTGGTCTGCTACCTTGGCCCGGTCCTCCAAGAACTGATCAAACTCTGAAAAAAAGAGTGAGATGTTTGACGGTGATTGTGTAAATATGAGACACTACTCCCTGTGTTAGCGTGAGACTTAATCTTCATCTACTGTAAAGATTTAAAGGGCTGATGATGTTACACACCTTCACTGGTCACACCCTCACACACTGACGACTGCTCCTCCTGTTACGAACACAGAGCAGGTTGAAAACCACAGCAACAGAACTTTCTATCTGAATTGTTGTGTGTCTTACCGTATCACAGGATAACCACTTGTCAACGTCGTTGTGGAAAGAGTTCGTCTGTAGAATTAGAAAAAAAGTTAGATCACATGTCCAGACTGTGGTGTGTGAAAGAAAGTCTGTGAGTGTGTGTGTGTGTGTGTGTTACATGTGTACTCACTCCTCCTGTGACCTGCAGCCTAGTGTCCAGGGCTCCAGCCAGCCCCTCTACAGCTCCTGGATCCTCATATTTGACACTGGACACACATGAGGACAGTGTTGTTAATCTGTCACATCATTTCAGACCAGGACACATGTTGTTCCTGGGTAAAACTCTCAATTTACACTTGGTGGTATACAGTATATAGTATACTATACTACATGATATAGGACTATGTAATTGTCTGATTTTTATTAATACTCTTGCAAGAGTAACTGTAACATCAAGAATTTCCTGTAAATTTCTGGTGTAGCTCAAAGCTTAGCTACTTCTTTTTTATCTGTTTACAGGACTCACCATTTCCTCTGTTCAGCCAGCGAACTAGTCCTGGTCTGAGCGAACATGTCAAACTCCTCCTCCTCTTGTGCTGCGGGGCAGGCATTGAACTCGGTAAGTCACAATGTCAGAGTGAACATATGCAGGAATACCAAAGTACATTTAATATTTGCCAAAAACATAATAAATCCTTCACCACGATCCTCTGAAACCACTGATGATTGTAACCATTTTTTATGTCATTCAACATCAAGGTGTCCACATACTCACGGGACGTCAGACTCAGGGTCCGTTTGGTAATGCTAGGTTAGTCTACAATCAGAAAGCTGACTTTATTTTAATAATGTTTGTATCAAATGAATGGTTCTCTGCAGCCTCAGAAAGCACATGTACTGTGCAAGTTCTAGCCAGGTTACTATCTTTCCTCCATCAGCCACATAGCACCACCTGCAGTCCACAACCCAGAGGTTTTGCATGGGTCGTACCTTCTGCAGTTTTATGTTGTGTAGAAGAAGCTTTTAATTCTCTACATTTCCTAAAATAACAGAAAAGGGAAAAAGGTGGTTTGCACCTGCCTAGGACTTTTGCTCAGCACTGTAGACATCTTTTAACAGACAAGTGAAAAATAGATCTTAGTTTACTTAAGACCCAGTATCTCCGACTTAATGTGCAGCTCTACAACCCAATTAGAGTTGAATCAGAGTTCACTCACTCTGATTGGTCACCTGTCCTTGACCTGACCAGGTGCTGCTGACTGCCGGTTGGCTGGTTGTTGTGATGACAGCAGGTTGACTGAGGTTGGTGGGCTCAGGATGCAGGTCGTTGAGGTAAGGAGTGTGAGTGGAGCTCTGTTGAAGAGAAGACAGAGTTTAGTGAAGAAGATTTCAAACTCCTGTCAGAGGATCGTCTTACAGCCGTCATTGGGTTAAACAGGGCGTGTCCTACCTGCTGAGGATGACTGACTTGTGCCTTGTTGAGTCTTTCAAACCTAAACACAGCAGACCTCACAGTTACAGACTCACAGACAGACTCCATCTCTGAAAAAACACTCATCAGCAGCAAACCTCTCGTAGCGAATGAAGGTGTTGTTGAGGTCATCGTTGATGACCAGTAGCTCTTCAATAAAGCCTTCGTCCAACAGCTGTGGGATCAGCTCCACCACTCTGGTCTGCATGTGTTTACACACCGAGTACAGCTGCTGCTGACACACAAGTGAAGGAGAGAAGAGTCCAGCTGTTTATTCCTTTTTTTCCTGTGGGTTTTCCGTCCGTTGGCGCTGACCTTAAACACTGGGAGAACGAGGAACAGTAGGACAAACAGGTGTTGTTGTCGTAAGACCACAAGCAGCTCAGTCCATCAGCGCTGCATTGTTTACACACAGCAAACACAGTAGACCAAATATTTTGACTTGTCTTGTCTGCTGTAAATTACGGCAAAAACACAATGGCAGGTTGTCTTCAAAACAAAGAGCTGACAAAATCAATGCGCCCGTTGCCCACCCAGGTTCACAGTGAACAGTTCCCATACAGAACATAAATCCAATAGAAAGGTCACCTACTGTCTATGTGGGTCCTCCATCTCTCCCAATATTATTGATCATTGATCATATGGCAATATGATCAATGTTGGCAATTTGTCGTCTTTTCTCAGGTTTTCGTCGTGAATTACTTCTGGACTGTATTTTGTTTCACCCTTTCAGGGTATAGTGATGGTTTTTCTGTGAAGTTTATTTAGGGTTTTATGCTGCTGCTCGTACATTTTTCTGTTTTTAACTCATCTGTTTCCTCTAAAGTGACGTCTTTAAAGCCAAGGCCAGAGGGCAGCTCCAGAACTTGAATGAGCTTTACTGTTTCCTTCTTCTCATGTAGCAGACCTATTCAAATAGCAGCCCATGGGCCACATGCAGCCAAGACACAACCTCAGAGTGGTAAAGCTGATAAAAAAGCTGATAATCACAGTTAGAGAGTGATCCAAAATTTTTGTCCAAATTATAATCCAAAAAGAACTTGAGTAATCTAAATCTCTCTTTTTGGTTTGCCTTTACTACAAATTGTAAAAGGAAACGTGACCGTGGACCAGCTATAGATGAATCTTGCTCTCGTGCTCTCTGTGGTACAGACCTGCAGCAGCTCTGTGTCTTCAGACTGACTCTGTCCAGGCACAAGGTTATTCAGCATTTCAGACATGACTGTGAGATTTCCCTTCACCAGCCCCAGCTCTTTCCGCAGCTTCTGTTCCTGTATTAACAAAAAGAAAGTACTGGATGTAGTGTAACAAACAAACAACTCTAATCATTCTAGGGTCAGTGATCGGTTATTAATGCAACAACATTAATAACAGTGATTGAATGAGAAGGTTTTCTAGGCAGTACCTGTTCTGCAGAGAGTCTCACTGGTCTGTTATCAATCTGAACTAAGGGTGAGGTAGTGGGAGTGTTTTCTCCTGGAGGAGCCGCTGGTTGCATCTGCTGTGGAGGAGAAACGATGGCGACCGTCTCAGGAGAACCATCCTCTGGAACACTCTGCAGAATTGAGCCAAAAAAGGTTTTTGACACACACTCTACAGTTCAGTTCATCTGCACCTGGTCCTTTTGTTTGACTGACAGACAACCTCACCCTGTTTGGAGTGTGGATGGGGGACAGGGAGTCCAGATCTGTCATGGGAAATTCCAGACCTCGTCTCTTCAGGTCATCATACACATGCACCACTCCTGACAAAGAGGAGGAGCTGCGGAAGGCATCAGCCCAAGACTGGAGGAGAGAAGGTATGAGATAATGAGAAAGGTTGACATCTATGAATAAATCGCTGCTTGTGACCCATGTGAAAAGCTGTAGACCAGATACGTTTGATTTTATTTACTGTGGTCTAGAAAAATGACCAGGAAATGGTTTGCCTGACTGCAGTCATGATGCAGACGTACCTGTATGAGGCTGAGAACCCTATCATGCAGAACACTGGGTGGATTATATTTGGGAAGAATGGAACGGACCAGGACCCCTTCAACAAAATCCTGTGACGCCACCAGCACCTGGAACCGGTGTCCACAGTTCTTCACACAGGCCTCAAGGACCTGTATGACAGAAATGATCGTTTATGATGAGACTGAAGTCAAACACTTTCAGGTTTTATATAAATCAGAAATGTTTAAACATTGACTCACAGTGAGGGCCAACATGATCTCCCTGAAGTTCTTGTTTCCCACGATTCTCTTCCTGATAGCTTTGACTGCATCTCTAGCACTGGAGGAAGGGGGAAGGTGATATGACATCCCCAGAAAAAAATGTCCTGATTTATTTTGTTTAGACTTCCTTCTTTTCAAATGTTCTACAACTATAATTCGTTATAAATATAATTATAGGAAGCAGTGATGCAAACATATCAACAACACCAAACAAGGAGAATGTTAGAATAGTTAAAGACAGGATTGGGAATTGTACTTGTATCCATTTCCCTTGTCATGACCAGAGAGAGAGTGGACATCATCCTTACCCCTCGTCTGTCTCATTGATGATGTCACATATCTCTATGTTTAGCCCCCAGTCATCTGCCTGCAGAGAGCCACTGGTAGCTTGCTCTGTCAACAAACGGTTACAGGGATATATTACTTTGGTAAAGTGTAGCTGAGCTCATGATTGCTCCACAACATTTACACTTGATTTCTTCTTCTGACACAAACCGTTGAGTAATTGGAGCTAAACTTTTTTTTTTTCTTCCATCCCACATAGTTTCCTCATAATCCTCTACACTCCCTCCCAGCAATGACCGCCGCCACACACACACACCTCCCTTCTCTCACTCCAACCTCCACCTTAGCTTTTCCAAATCACTCCTCCCTTCAACACATGACTGTCAGCTGCTTCAGTACAGTTCAGCCTCAAAGCTTTATGAAAACCCTCTGACATGAATGTGTGAACAGGGGGGAAAAATAACAGAGTAACAGAGAAGTACAAGAAGACGAAGAAAAAAACCATCATAGTTACTAGATAACAGTTGTGTAGCGTATTTTAGCTCATCATTTACTTTCTTCAGCTACTGCAGAAATACCCATAATAAATACCCATGTCTTCAAATTTAACGCTGTTTGTTTAGTCAGATAAAGAGAAACGTGTCGCTTTTATCGAGAAAACTCCTCTTAATTTAAAGAAGACATTTATATTTGACCATTACAAGAGATAGCTAACGCAAATCTAGCTTCATAAACGCAACTTCGACTGAGGAAGTCAGAGGAAACATTACACGGCTCTCCCATTCGTTCATCAAGCTATCGTTTTGACACCGTGACCAATCACACGAGGAACATACAGGATAAAGACCCGCCTCTACACTATCATTGGTTATTTAATGTACTTCCAGTGTTTCTGTCAATCTAGAAACTTGTTTGTTTTTTAAAATCAATTTTAGAAAGGGTTACATTAACTTAAAGACTGGAGTAAAGTAAACATTATATATATCGACTATTTATATTGTAAGTTCAAATAATAATGGTGATGTCGACAATTCACCGGAACATATTTCCGTAAATATTGTAAGTTTTAAAAGCAAAAAAGGAGAACCTACCGATTCTCTGACCAACGGGTGTCGAAAATGGATTTCCGATTAGAAAGTCAATTTTCTCCCCGAGAGAAAACATGTTGACAAAATCTTCAGGCGTCCAGTGTGTATGAAAGTGAGTTGTTTCCTGATTAACCCACCTCTTTCTCTTTATCTCTCTCTCTCTCTCTCTCTTTTTCTCTCTCTCTCTGTGTGTGTGTGTGTGTAATTGAACCGCTGCTTCATAGATATCACGTGAAAACAGACGTCAGGAAACACAGCAAACAAACTTAACACATCGGGACACCTACATGAAGTTAAACCGAGTAACATTTGGGTGTTTAATTTAATTGTACGGGACATTTTACCCTACATCAACAGCGTACGCAGTAAATTATTTGTTTTTAACTGTAAGAATTGTGAAATTTATGTCGTATTCTGCACATAATTTGCCCTGTTAAACTGCCACAGGGAGCCAGGGTACCTCATTGTTCGTGTTTTTTCCCCTAAAAATAACTGTTCATTCTTTTAATCCTAACTATCAGAACAGTCCTACAGCTCGATAGCTCCTGTCTGTAGCCAACGTCGCTACTCATTTTGTCGTACAGTTTTAAGACAGTAGCACCATCCAGTGCTCGTTAACTATGTCTGCAGTTTGTCACACACTAGATCTAGCGTAAAAAAGCAGTTATAACAGAACGAAATGCATCAATTGTTATTCTAAAAAACTCAATTGAATCCAATAGATATAGATAGATATTTAAATAGATATTTCCTCAGTAAATATGCTACACTGTAAAATCTCTTTTCTTGCGTAAATGCGTATTATTGCCGCTAGGTGGTAGCATTTAGTAGTTAAATTTAGTTACGTTACGTTTTGTGAGTACTAACATATTGTATGTCTCCTTGTGTTATTGTATTCTTCTACATTATTAGACACAACAGGGTCATTGTTCTTTCATGGACTATTTTTTAACCAATTTCCCTCTAA